GTTTTCTCAGAGCCACACACGACTTCTGGCGCTCATATGACCTTATGAGGTTGCGAGCGCTGCAAAACCTCTATACCAAAACTAAACCCCCACACAGCTGAGCTTGTTTACCCACGGCTGCAGTCTCATGTCTTACTGTTAATGGACTCATGGTCTAGGTTTGGGGAAATTGTACTAAATATACACTTTGGTGTTGATTTTATAAGAACATCTTGAATTAGAGACATGGATTCAACTTTTGATTGAGGGAATTATTTTTAGGATCAAACGACTAAGATGAAATAGGGATGGGAGCATGGACAAAGTAAAGGCTATGGTGTGACAGCGGTGCTAACGGCTGACCATCGGAAAGACACATTTATCCGACATCGTTCTGATGTTGGGTGATCATCGGTTTCCGATAGTGTGTGGGAACCCGACATCATCCTGATGGTGGGTTGTCGTCGGTTTCCGATGGTGTGTTGATATCCATCATCGCGCCAATGGTGGGTTGTCATCGGAAACCGATGGTAAGTCGGTATCCGTCATCGCGCCGATGGTGGGTTGTCATCGGAAACCGATGGTAAGTCGGTATCCATCATAACGCCAATGGCGGGTTGTCATCGGAATCCGATGGTAAGTCGGTATCCGTCATCGCGCCGATGGTGGGTTGTCATCGGTATCCGTCATCGCGCCGATGGTGGGTTTTCATCGGAATCCGATGGTAAGTCGATATCCGTCATCGCGCCGATGGTGGGTTGTCATCGGTATCCGTCATCGCGCCGATGGTGGGTTTTCATCGGAATCCGATGGTAAGTCGGTATCCGTCATCGCGCCGATGGTGGGTTTTCATCGGAAACTGATGGTAAGTCGGTATCCGTCATCGCGCCGATGGTGGGTTGTCATCGGAAACCGATGGTAAGTCGGTATCCGTCATCGCGCCGATGGTGGGTTTTCATCGGTATCCGTCATCGCGCCGATGGTGGGTTTTCATCGGAATCCGATGGTAAGTCGGTATCCGTCATCGCGCCGATGGTGGGTTGTCATCGGAAACCGATGGTAAGTCGGTATCCGTCATCGCGCCGATGGTGGGTTGTCATCGGAAACCGATGGTAAGTCGGTGTCCGTCATCGCGCCGATGGTGGGTTGTCATCGGATACCGATGGTAAGTCGGTATCCGTCATCGCGCCGGTGGTGGGGTGTCATCGGAATCCGATGGTAAGTCGGTATCCGTCATCGCGCCGATGGTGGGTAGTCATCGGAAACCGATGGTAAGTCGGTATCCGTCATCGCGCCGATGATGGGTTGTCATCGGCATCGTGCCGATGGTGGGTTGTCATCGGAAAATATTATGACAAACTTCAGTTTTGACCTAACAATTAATATTTTGACCTGTCATTTACTTTAAAATTTTATATTAAATGAAAGTTTCCTCATAATATGTATCTGTGTACATGTTTTTAATGTTTATCAACTCTGGAAAGCCCTCAGAGTACAATATGTAGTTCGTTCATAACAATTACCACAAAAGAAAAATACTGATTAAAATACATACCCATACACTTATAAAAATCAAAATATCAGAATGTAAGCAAGGTCTAATACATCCTCAAGTTGGGTTAAAATTAAAAATACATCCTCAAGTTGGGTTAAAATTAAAAATACATCCCAAAACAACTGTAAATTACATGGAATAAGGTTTCGTTCATAACCATTATGACACAATGTCACGTTCATAACATGATGACAATCCATTATGAC